TTTTTTAAAACCATAAAACTTAATTTATAACCATTTTTCTCCCCAAGTTTTAATAAGGTCCCTGACTTTTAGACCCCATTGCATGCCACTCTGATTGTCACAGTATATGTCGCCCGATTGTGTGTGTGTGTCTGTGCTGCTGCTCTTGACTGAAAATAGCAGCTGTCGACCAAGCATCTGTTATACCTTGAGGAAGAGAGAGTTGATCGGAAGTTCAGTGGGAGATGCCAGCTCTTTGAAATAAGGCTATGAGGAATGTAAAGCATTGAAGATGGTACTAAAGGCCTGTAAGGCATTAAAAGGAATAGAAGTATCCCCACACTAAAAACAAAGAACTCTGAATGCATGAAATGCATACAAACTAAGGAAAATTATGAGAGTTATGCTGCCTTCCATGAGCTTACGTTTAAAAAAAGGATTTTCAAGGAGTCCTGTCTGATTGAGTTTGAAACTGAATAGAGGAACCACTGGGTGGAGATGGATCTGAGACAATGGGGCTGAGTGCCCTTATCAACTTTGTGCTTGGTAAATTGCTGACTAATTTGCATTCAGGTTGTGCTGATCACACTGTCTTTGGGGTAGAAAGACTGGTTGGTTTTCATAAAATAAAATAAAATTCTGATTTCTTTACATTCTTCTGAAACTGTTGTGTATGAAAGCATGTGAACAAGAAGCCATTATTGTGAGAATAAGCACAAAGATGAGAAAGAAATTAGAAAAAATATATATATACGACTATGCATATTTTACACACAATAAACCTGCATAAAATGAAACATCGCAGCTACTTTGACCAAAACTAGAGAAATAAATGTGAACTAGTTTAAGAAGTAGGAATGTGATGAAGTGATTCAATTTAAACCAATTCAATCAGTGATACATAATGCAGTTTCAGTTTTATTATGATTGCCGTCATTCATTATAAGGAGACCAAAAATGTAAACTTGTGTGCTAAGCTTCCTGTGACAATCTAAATGTAAAATGGAAAGATTAGATATAAAAAAGACAAATCTGTGATATACATTGACATTAACGTTAAAAATGATTATTTATGCTCGTTTGTAGATTTGGTAGCTGGTAATACGTGGTATATAATCAGTCATATATTTTGCCATTATGTTTATCACAATATATCTCAAATATGTAAAGCCTAAAAATGTCATACAGTCAGCCAGATGCTCAGTGAAAAAGTAGTGACGTATGTTTCACAAGGCGGGGAGAATTTCAGTCAATTGTGTGTGATTTGCGGGTCGAATAGGGGGGAGGGAGAGGAAGCGGGGGGTTGCAGCCCAGTCGGTCCTCCTCCCGTGTATAAATTCTCCAACCAAACCGGTTTTCTTTCTCTTTCTGTTACGTTACCTGGCAAAGGGGAGCAGCAGCTTCTGAGGAGTGATCTTTCAATCTTGGTGAGTTTTCTCTGTTGGTCAGGCCTTGTTTTTCTTTTACTCTCAGTTGTTGTATTTGAAGAACTTCTGGATAATAGTGAAGAGTTTTCCTCAGGTTGACGATTTCTTGTCATTTTCAGCGTTGTTTTGTTACGCTGCGTGCTCTTAACACTTACGGCTTCTGCAATGGCTTATGTGTTTTTAATTGTGTGTTCTTATCAATTAGCAGTATATTTAGAGGAGATGGGGGGGTTAACTTTTTCCATTGTGTCCGTGTGCGTCCATCTCTCAAAGAATGAGAACCGGGAAAAGAACAAAGGCACTAAGACTTGATGTCGCGGGCCTGTTAAAAGCCTTCCGCACATTCTCGCATCCAACAACTGTTACCAGTGACTGGAGAGCCAGATGTCTGCATCCATATGTATTCCTCTCAGACATGTTGAATTTTTCCTGTAACTTAATACCGCGCTACTCTAAAGAAACACGTGTCGCAGTTACCTTATGGTTAACTAGGCCGATTCAAACTCGGGGCCGTCTGTAAATTTTTACGAAATCCCCGCTTAAGTTTTAATGGAAGGTCTGTACTCATGCCTCTATTCATTTTTACTTTTTCTTCTTTTAATCCAGAACCTGATCAATCATGGGAAAGGAAAAGATCCACATTAACATCGTGGTTATTGGCCACGTCGACTCCGGAAAGTCCACCACCACCGGACATCTCATCTACAAATGCGGTGGAATCGACAAGAGAACCATCGAGAAGTTCGAGAAGGAAGCTGCTGAGGTGAGAGTTTTAACACTTATACTGGTTGGTTCGTGAATTTCTGTGAATTGATTGAGGCACAACTCGGCGTAACAAGAGCCAAAATGGCGGCGGTAGCACGCGTTCCTGGGCTCAAGCCGGCTGGGTGTGGGA